CACACACACACACACACACACACACACACACACACACTTTTATAGGCTCTATGAATTACAGCTTTATTTAAATCCCCCCAAATATGGGAATCTTATCCATTTGGTTTCAAATTAATGTTGTAAGATTTTAATTTAACTGAAACTCCTTTTAAAAATGAGTCTCTAATATCCACATGTAAATCAATAGTGATAGACACTGAAATACATATTTCATCACTTTTTTTTTTTAATATTTTTAAATAGAACAAAGAGACAAAGCTGAAAACTAAGAATTATTTTTTAAATTAAGGGATTATTTAGTATAAAGATCTAAGACTAAAGGATTTCTAGAAGGGGAAGCAGAGAAAGCAGAGGGGAGAAAAGCAGTGAAGGAATCACGCAGGAAAATTCCCCAGAGCTAAAGTTTTAAAGTCTCCCGATTGAAAAGCATACCTAGTTCCAGACACACGGAATGAAGAGAGACCCATCCAAAGCAGAGGATAAAGGAAGCATCCTAAAAGTTTCCAAAGAAATAAAACAGCTCCTGTATCCAGCAATGGAAATCAGAATGGCACTGGACTGTAGCAGCAAAACTGGATGCTAGAAGGCCGGAGTAGCCCCTTCACATCTGGAAGGACACGACTTTCCTCTGAGGAAAACTACCCGGCCAAACGACCAGTAAACTACGAGGGCCCAAGAAGAATATCTTGTGCAACGCAAGCATCCAAAAATTATAACTTCCGAAGGACTCTTTCTCAGGAAAGAACTGGAATACACACTTCGGCAACACGGGGGAGTTAGAGAGAGAGAGAGAGAGAGAGAGAGGGGATATAAGAAACAGAGACTCCAATCAGAAGAGGAGCCTGAAAGTTCCAGGACAGGGGTTGTCTAGCAGACTAAATTCAAATCCAGTCGTCACTAAAGCAAGTAGCTACAGGAATTGGCTGTCCAGGAACAAAACTGAGAAAAATTGTCATGCTTGACCATGTATAAATAGTACAGAGAGAGAGAGCTTTCAAAATGGTTTTGGAAGATTTAGAAAGAAGAAATAATAGGTACATTAAAAAAAACTAGGAAAAATAAAAGAAAAAATAAAGGTCTATGAGAAAGGAAAGGTAATCAACACTGAATGATTATTAATACAGTATGCTATAAAATTTAAATATACAATTTACAGTAATCCTTATTAACTATAAATTGAAATACCTACATGTATATAAACACTAAAAACTCTTAAGAAAACATATGTCTGTCTTATAAAAAGAAAAATAGTAAAAAGCTTGTGATAAACAAAATTGTAATTAATTTCAAATAATTAAGTAAGTGTGTGTCCAAGATGAAGATTCACAATTATTTGGTTTCATTATACATCTCACAAAGCACTTGCTTGAAATATTTCCAAGTAATTTTGCATTGACGGTTAGCGATGGAGTTTGTTTTAGGTTGCTTTTTAATTTTTTAAACTAATAAAGGATCTCTACTTGCAAAAACTGGACAGCAAATCTAATCATTGTTATTGAAGATATGTGGTTTTGGTAAATGTGTTATTTTGGAATTGCCTTCATGAGGAATTATATTCCTCTAAAACTAAGAGATTCACCTTCAAAAATGTTGTCATACATCTCTTATATCTATAATATTTAAGGCAGTGATCTCCAAAGCTGAGTGCCTCTAGCAACCCACCGAGGGGAAGGAAAAAATATTAAAATCTTTACTTTGATATTTTAATGTACCCCTTTATATTTTATTTCAGTAGACTTCATGTACTATATAATAATTATACAATGAAATTTGTATAGAATTTATAATTAAGCATACATATAACAACTGTATTATCAAAAAAATTTTTACTGATAGACTGTCATGGCCAAAAATATTTGGAGACCTCTGATTTAGAGATGGCTCCCTACTTATAGTTGGTGAACCATTAATAGTCCATGAGAGTAATACAAGTGGTCATGAGTGAAGAAAGGCAGGAAAAAGCTAATATATCTTCTAAGCAACTAAAAAGTTAAGGTATGATTGAAAATTAACCTACTTTGGGGGAAAAACAATTATCTCATTTGCAAAATTTTATCCAACATGAGGCCTCCCTGCCTCATGTTGGATAAACATCATTTGAGATATATGAATGGCTGGATTTTTCATAGTCCTTGATTAGTACATGTCACTCATATGATACAAACTATGTTAAAACTGTTTAAAATAACATGCTCACATGGTAGTCATAAAAGCTTTTGTTGATGAAGTAATATTCTATAGAAAGAAAATACCTAGAAACCATTGGTTTGGAAACTGAATTCTCAAGCATCTTAAGGGCACTTTCTTCTGTCATATGGGCAAAATACAACTCAGTAGTAGCTACTAGTCACATAGGGATGTTCAACTTAATTAAAATTTAATAGAATTTAAGATTCACACCCTCAGTCCCATCAGCCACACTTCAAGTGTCTAATAGTCACCTGTGGCTAGTGGCTACCAAATTGGATAGTGCAGATACAGAACATTCCCATCGGTGCAGTTCAGTCCTGTGGGAGCTCTGCTCTAGAATAATATTCAGAAATTCTTAAATTAAAAAATGTTAACACCTTTATACTTACTAACTGTTACTTTGTCTTTATCCCCCAACATAATGTTGTTTGGCGTGAGATCTCTATGGACAATCCTCTTCTCCTTGTGCAAGTACCGAAGAGCTAAGCACAGCTTGAAACGGCAAAGATGAAACAAATTTTATTTCCCCCAACAAACTCATAACCACTGGCGACCACTACACACGCCTCTCACACACAGCTCGGACCTTCCCCGTTTCACAGAGAAGTGTAATGAAGGTAAAGCGTACCTGAATAAATATTTTCCACAGTCTTTCTTCAGTAAAATGGAGTTGTTTTTCCTTCAAAGAATTGAAATGCTCTCCAAGGGGGGCCCCTTCTATAAGCTCCATAACTATATACAGCCGATCATCTATACAGGAAAAACAAGAAAAAGACAATAGAGATCTAAGCTCAACAAAGACATTTCAGAAACACTTAGGAATTAGAATCCAAGCTCCCCAGTGGGTGTGCAGTGCACAGCACTGAAGAGTTAGAGGTGCACTAAGATATGCATTCACTCAGCCCTGGGGGTGTGGCGGGTTGGGGGGTGTCTGGGGGCAACTGGAGCCCAGCGACAATCTCTTCCAGCGACAGGCCACCTCCCAGCATAAGTTTAAACTGGCAAGCATGCGGTCATTTTCTATGTAGCTGCAACCTGAAGTGGTTGGGAGGCGCCAAAGAGGACAAGCTAATGATCCCAAGTCACGGAGGATTCCCTGCAGAACATGCAAACCCACCTTCATCTCAATAGTCTAATTTTACCCTTAAATAAAGTCGGCCCATGAGAAAACTGCATTTTAAACTGCATTGTTTGTAGTCTCACAGATTTATCTTTCTGACTTTTATAATCAATCACACCATGGTCTTGTAATGAATGACAGTTGAAAACACCACCCAGGATAGAAATTTCTGTTACGCCCCCTCAAGAGCAGAGAAAGCTGGGCTTCCCTGGTTTTACCTGATGGGTCCCGGAAATCTCATAACGAATTGTGTTCCTCTCTGTGCTTTGGGTGCCAAGAAACAAAGAAGTAAATTCTACTTCCTCCTTCAAAACTGATATGAAACTACTAACAATGGTAAGTTTTAGATGTATATAAAATATGCAGGTACATGATATTTACAAAAATGAAATCATGCCATACATGCCCTTCCACTTGTGGTTTGGTTGTTCAACATCCTTCTGTGTCACTACACATGGACCCATGTCTCTCTTTCTATTGGTTGCATAGGATCCCATGATACAGTGGGATCATAATTTACTTACCATTTTCCCAAGGACAGACATTTCTATTGTCTCCAATTTTCATAATCCCAAGAAATATTTTCATATGTACTAACCTTACCTCTAGCTTTATTTTTAATTTTCTCACATTTTTCCTTCTTTTATCACAATTTTCTAATCTACTTTATCACAGTTTGTTTTTTTAAGCCACTCTCATTTCTTTTTGGAAGAAGTCAGGTTGTGAAAAAGACTTTTTATTGCTTTTATTCTTAACTAAGACAAGTTGTGCCATTTAGGTAGAGGTTAGAAGCCAGTCTAGATCTCTGTATATAGGATGTGCACTAAATTACAGGAAATTATTCTAATATCAAGACCAAGAGCCAAGGGTGCAGGGTTTACTGGAGACTGTCAGAGCTGAGTTCCTCTGAGTCATCCAGAGGGAGGGGGATGGGTAAAACCACAACATGTCACAGTACACGACAGGTGTGCCTAACAGCAGTGACGATGAAGAGGCAGCGAGGGAGCCCCGACCTTCGCCTTGTATCTCTTAAGTCTTCCTTCAAATGGAGGTTTATTTGAAAGTTCCTATGTTTTATCAGTACCTACCTCGCTTCAGTCAGAGGTCCTACGCTGCCCTAAACAATTGACTGCTCGGGCTCTGGCTCGGCAACCGGTCATCCTGGCGGAGAGCCTGCGGCCTGCAGCCAGTCAGGGCTCCATCTCCACCTTGTGGCAATTGCTTGAACTTCAGGTAAAGAAATCAAAGACCAAGCCCGCTCCCAATTTATTTTGGAGGTGATCAATGTCATCTAATTCAAGGAAAACAACTTTTGATCTTTTTTAGCCACTATCCTTAAGTTTCTTCTCTCCTTGTCCTAAGTTATTGTTATGTGTATGAAAATAGCTATAATAACTAGTGTGGATTGTTCATTCAGTGTCCCTTACCTGGGAGTCTAGGTAGTTCATACGTAACTCTCTCTAGGTCACTGATTACATCACTGCTCCAGTGATCAAGAAAGTGATGCATGAGACTGTCACATAAACAGCAAAAAAAGTAAAGTAGACGACTGAGCTTATTTTTTGCATTCTAATATGCAAATAGGTGACAAAGATACTTTCCCTTAATTAGAAATATCATGAAAACTCATACTTACTTTCCAGAAATGTTTTGTAATAGCGTACAACATTGGGATGATAAAGCTACAAGAAAATAAATAACAAACATTACACTACTTCAAAATACAAACGTTTGTTACAGACCATTCAGTTGGACTTCATATTTGAAAAAAACACACACAAAAACAAAGAAAGTATTGTATTTATATTTCTTTATAAAACTAAGCATTTTAAGTCATCATGTAATGGAGAAGGGGAAGGGAGGTGGGGGAGGGCCTGAGGGATAAAAGGTGCTGGAAGGAGACTTGGCTTGGGGAGGTGAGCACATAACACGTGTACAGTGATGTGCTGTGGAAGTGGGCACCTGAAACCTGTATAATTTTGTTAACTAGTGGCACCCTAATAAATGTAATAAAAAGGGAAAAAAGTTATCAAATTCAGATTTTTTCATGATTTTTAGTTGCTACTAACACAATCTGAAAACAGCAATCTCCTATAGCCTTAACAAGTCCAATCAAAAACTGATTTGTGCTTTATCACCAAATTTAACTGAAACTGAGACTTGTGAAACAGGGGAACTTGAATCCCTTGGCACTCGGCCCCCTCCGCGCACAGCGCAGATGGAGCCGCGCCCACCTGCTCCTTGATCATGGCCAGCTCCGCCACCACGCCCCGCACACTGCTGTCCCGCGCCGCCTTGTCCTTCCCGAACGCCGCGCTGTGCGGGCTCACCTCCTTCATCGCCAAGAGGTTTTGACCGCTGCGCTTTCTAACCTAAGGGAGACCGAGAACAAGACGAGGGGAGGCGGAAAGGGGGACAGTCACAAGGTCACACGAGCAAAGCAGGTCATGCAACTTCTAAAATTCTATCTGTGTGTACACTAAGCTCAGCTCAAAATATCGGTGTCTCCCGGGTCAGTCCGCAACATTCACTAGGATTTGCTACGTAAATGCAGAAACACTGGTGTGAATGGGACAAGCCACTTTGACTATTTTTTGTGAGATTAATGACAGTTTTTGTCTTCCAAAGACAGCGGCCAATTTCTAGAGCTGAAAGTTAAGAGGCCACTGATGCAGCTTTACAATGGACAAAAACAATCGTGCTGATTTTTAGACCCATCCCCACTCCTTTTCCCGGAGAGGGCTCCAACTCCACCCAGACTGGGGTGCAAGTGGGACCTCAGTGCACCTGGGGATGTGAGAAGTGTTGTCCCCCAAGGGCAAAGTCACCTTGTAAACACAGCCAAAGGCTCCGCTTCCCAGAAGATCCAGAATCGCATAGTTGCCTATGTACTTCGAAGGAGCTTTGTTCTGATTGATGCTTTCGATACTTTCGGCAATCTGCTTCAGCTCATCCTCCTACCCAAAAACACAGCGAGAGGAAGCGGGGCGCTGGACAAACCCCGACCTGACCGCACAGCGCCTGCCGAAGCTTAGAACCCAAGACTTACCACTAACACATTCAACCTTGACACCAGCTCTTCGTAGGCACTGATATCGCGAACATAATGTCCTACGTCAATGAAGACCTCAAACAAGTCGGCGGGGAAAAGTCTGCGGGAAACACACACGCATGCGGGATTTGGAAACTGCTGCTCATTCCTTCTGCTTTGGATCTAGCTCATTCACAGATTAATTAAACAAACTTAACTTCCTTAATTTATCAACAAAGTGGGAGGAAATAATACCAGCTCATTTCGCAAAAGTGAACTATAGCTACAGTTGGTAAGGGTAAGGAAAACAAGTGGAAAGTGCTGGAGATCTGCTGTACAGGATTCTGCTCAGTCAGCAGCACTGTACTGTACAATTAAACATTTGTTAAGAAGGTATATCTCGTGTTACGTGTCCTTTATTACAATAAAAAATATGATACAAATTACACGAATACCTTATTTGTGAGATATTTGGGGCATAGGTATTAAACATGTTACTAAGGAATGATTACTGGGTGTCTATTCTGCCTTACCAATAAACCTCCTGTAAGACCTTGGGCCTGTGATTTTGGCTAACCTGCCCAACTAAACGGCATGCAGGCCACTCGTGTAGGTAACTAGCATCTGCTTCCCAAGGTGGTGAGATTTTTGTCATGCCCACCAGCAGTCTCCCGACCCAAAACATCAGCCTTCTCCTCTTCTAATGAGCTCCTACCCTATGGAAGATACCCAGACAAATCCTTTTCTTTCTACAAGAGGAGATAACTTCATCAACTTGGGAATTTATGAATGGGCTAAAACAAGCAGGTATTTTAATGTCATCCATTTAAAATGTTATTGTCTAAAATAGAGAGAGAGAAACTAAAACCACAGCATCCACGTGTCATTAGAAGAGACATATCAGTAACGTAATTCGTGCTCTCATCACTTTGTTCATTTTCAGTGCTAAGACATCACTAGTACAGCTCAGTTTTATCTGTGGATCCTACGACGTCTGGAGACCTGTGTTTTGCACACTGGCTCTCCTCTTACTGTTTGCATCTACGTCAGCTATGTGGAAAAAGTTCAGTCTTGTGATGCCTGGTCACCTATACTTCTCGAAGCTCATACCTTTTGAAGAGTGGTCTGTTTCTTTCCATGCTGAAGAGGAACCTCAAAGCTCTGAAAGCATAACACTGGAAAAGAAAAGGAAGTGAGATTCTGCAAAGGTAGCTCAAGAAATGAAACAATTCAGAATAGAATGATCAGGAAGTAAACACTGAAGTGGTTTTACTGAGTGTGGCTGATCTACATGGGAGCCAAAGTTTATTTTTTAAAAAGCATTTACGGCCCAGCCGGCATAGCTGACCTTTCATCCAGGAGATAGTGGTTTGGTTCCCGGTCAGGGCACATGCCTGGGTTTCAGGCTCGATCCTCAGCAGGGGCCGTGCAGGAGGCAGCCGATCAATGACTCTCTCTCATCATTGATGTTTCTCTCTCTCTCTCCTTCTCCCTTCCTCTCTCTGAAATCAATAAAGACATATTAAAAATAAATAAATAAAAATAAAGCATTTATGTAGTAAAAATGCTAGGGATCTTGGCCTTGTTTCACTCAGGACTCGGCATTAATTCCTTTCTAGAAAGTACAAAATGAGCAGAGACAAGAAATAAAATTCCTGTGCTGAGAAAACCAAACGTCCGAGGAGTTCCAGGAGCTCAAGGTTTATTTTGTTTCCAGCCTGCTCTGTAGGCCTCCATATTTATATGGTTTCTGTGAGAAAATAAACACTAGAAATGATGACATATAAAAATAGCCCCAGGCACGCTGGACTCAAACTTGACAAATTGGTCTCTTGAGTAAAGAGTCTTAAGCATTCCCCAAATAGAACAATCTGCAGTAACTCCTGTGAACGCTCAGAAAGAGGCCTGTGAGACTTCAAGGGGGAAAAGTAAACTTCAGACACTCTACAGTGCTGAGAAATAAAAAGACAGCCTCCAGCCTGCATCTGTACCTGCACAAGAGGCCACCCCTGGGGTGATCGGGGTCTGCTGAGTTTGAGTCTGGAACCATTTCATAAACTCAGTGATCTGAATACAGAAGAGTCACACACACAACTGCCCAGAGAAGCCAGATAACAACAATGGCAGGAAGGAGCCTGGTGAGAGTAGCGGCGACTGTGAGAGAATGGAGAACACAAGTGTTCCTCAAAAGCCATTTCAACGTAAATCTTTAAAACCCCCTCCTGTTTAACAAAGTGCATCTACAGGATGGCTTGGACAGTCTGCTCCAGCACAGGCTCATGTATCGGCGGGGCACTGACAACACTTGGTCCCACCTCTCTGTCCTCATTTGTAGGTCTCCAAACCTGTGGCCACCAGCCCTCAGACACCACTGAACGCTCTCTGCTAGGTTTGATCACCACTGACTTGGGGGGGGAAGGTGAGGAGCTGCAGCTACCACAAAGGCTTACTTAAAATATGACTTTATAATTCCAGTGTCTTCAAGTGGCTCCTAATGCCCACCCCTCAAAAAAGCACCTAGGACCTCGCATAATGTGTCCCTTTCTTACCTATGAGGCCTCAACTCCTGCAGCACCCCCTCCCCCAATCACACCCCCCAGCCCCACTGAGCAGCCTACTCACTAAGCTGTAAGCTGTCAGGTTCTCACACTTTGCACATGCTGTACCCTCTGGGTAGAATGCCCTTCCACCCCGCAGCAGATGCCATTGGTGCCCCACTCATATCCCCTTCATCCACCTGGCAAGTCTTTTCTCATCCATCAAGATCCACTTTACAGGCTTTCCTTTGTAAAAGTGAAATGTTAGTGACCACGGTCCATGCTTAATTTTCCTCTTATTATTTTCTGATACTCAAGTAATACATGTTTTTAAAGAATAGAACTAACTAATAAGCAAAGAAATATCTAAATAAAATCACCTAATTCCCTTCCACAAAGAAAGCACTAAGCTTTTACTCTGTTTTGACAGCATTAGTTTCCATGCCAGCCTCCCTCACCAAGTATTTTCCTTCCCAGGCTGTGCAGGGACCAGCCCTAAGCTAAAAATCCTAAAAATCATAGATTATGTTATCAAAGTTTCCCCAGATTTCAGTAACTTGGTATTGAAGAGCAGTGGACATGTTTATTACCTGTAACAGATTAGTTTTTGCCGCATTCTTTTGTTTGTTTGGTAAAATTAGTTTTGCTATTGTATATACACCATTCTCCTGAAAGAATAAAGGGCATGTTGTCAGTGACCAGGGACAATGCCACAGAGACACACAAGCATAAAGAAGCGACCAAACAATCTCAAAAACTATTATTATATTAGGGTTAGTATAACCTTGGAACTTTAATATGACAGGACATTAAAAATGTCCGTGTGACTTTTACACACCAAAGGCTACAACCACAACCTTAAAACTTCAATTGTCTTTTAAGACTACAAATAATAAAGTATATCAATTTAAAGTGAGTTGAGCCCTGGCCGGTCTGGCTCAGTGGTTGGAGCGTCAGCCTGCAGACTGAAGAGGCCCAGGTTTAATTCCGGCCAAGGGCATGTACCTCGGTTGCAGGCTGGATCCCCAGCCCTGGTTGGGACAAGTGCAGGAGGCAGCCAATCGATGTGTCTCTCTCACATCGATGTTTCTCTTTCTCTCTCTCCCTTTCACTCCTTCTGAAAAGCGATGGAAAAAATATCCTCAGGTTATGATTAAAAAATAAGAAAAAGAAAAATAAAAAAATAAAGTAATTAAAATACTTTAAAAAGAGAGTAGGGATAAAAGGGGACTTAAATATATTTTAAATCTTTATACACTGCATTTTAAATATCTAATTATGAAAGATAATTTCTCCCTTGATAGCTTTTTAATTAAACAATACATATACATCAATTGTTATAGAAAAATAAAATAACAGATTAAAAAAGAAAATGAACATTATTCATGAAAACACAGTTAACACCTTTCTAGACTTCTGCTAATACAAATATACACCTAGAGGAATGAACGAAACTACTAACTCATTGCTACTTTCTATTATCTATCAAATATGTAATTTACTGAGCTCTATTTATGTGGACATGTATATTATAACTGAAAAGCTTTACCTGCCTTACTGCCTTTAGTCCTTATAGCTATTCTTTGAATTAGACTATAATTTCTCTGTTGTATACATGATAAAACTAAGTCATTTTTCCAGGGTCCAAACCAGCAAGTAATGACAATAGGAATTATTTTAACAGCATTTGCTTCCATACCCGCCTCCCTCACCAGGTGTTTCTCGCTCATGGTCAGTACAGGGACCACTGCTAACCTGAAAATTCTAAAAATCACAGATTATTTTATCAAAGTTTCCCTAGATTTCAGTTGTTCCACCAACTACCCCCTGATTGGCTGAGCTTCCACTCGGGATTCTAATCACCAGTGACCTGATCCCTAACTAACTATTATGTCCCTACACATATTTTGAAGTTGAAGTTGGATATATTCTATCGACCAAAAACAAAAGCTTTCTCTGTAAAATTCAATAAGCAGGAAGTAACTTTTGTAGCAGGAACTCATACAAGCGTTGTATACATGTGTGTGCATTTGTATGCAGCTGATGTACACAGTACAGGGCTGCTTTCCTTAACTCGTGGTATCCTATATGCCCAGAATTAAAGCAATGCAGAATAGCTTTTCTAAAAAGATAAAGAAAATGAAGAAGACTACACAATGTAGGGAAGAAACATCGTCGGTTCACCACGTCACAGTTCTTTCTAAGCCAAGCAAGTTAAAAGAAGGAGGGCAAGAATCAAATGGAATTCCGTAAGTTAAGTGAGACATGATAAAATATTCTGAAGCCACGTGATGAGGTCCCAAAAGCTATGCTCTGGGACACAGCGTTGGACCGGCTCCGGGGCCCCTCCCAGGGCAGCAGCGTGCTCACCTGAACCACCTGGTGGGCGTTGGTGTCGTTGAGCACCAGCTCAGTGAGGGCAGCGCAGCAGGCTGGAAGGCAAGCCACAAGGTCACCGTCACTGCCGTGACTGCGGCGTCACGCTGTGACATCAGTACTCCAACTCCAGACACTGTTAGCATTCACTCTCCCAAAACACTAACCTTCCTCTGGCACAGCTCTGGGAGAAGGGAAACTCACTTTCAGTGGCTTCTAACTCTGCTCTTCATAGAGCATGTGTACATGTCCATTCCACAGACTGTGTCCGGGAGGCAGGGCCTGCACCTGTCTGTCTCACTGTAATCCCCGGTGCCCACCACGCGCCTGCCACTTGGCAGGTGCTCAATAAATAGACCTAACTGGTTGAATAGTAAGTACTTTAAATAAATTATCCAAACTGACCCTTGCAATCAGAGTATGTACTATGATCCCGTTTCACTGATGAGAAAACTGAGGTTTGGAGAGGTTATTAACCTAGATCACCGAACTAGTAAGTGGAAGGGGCCAGGAGTATGACCCCAGTCTACCTGGCCTCAGGTCCTATGCCCTGACCACTGCCCTTCATACTAGGAGCTCCTCACAGCCACCGTGGCATCTGCACCGAGCTGCCTCTTGTCCAAGCAGAGGCATGCTGGAGCCTGTAGCACAGAGCATCTATAAAGAACAATGCCGTTTTTATTGAGCCCTTGCCCCTGGCCCTGCACTGTGCTATAAACTTAAGTCCTCATGTAAGTCTCACAGTGACCCTCTAACACTGACACCATGATTACAATCACCATTTCACATAAGCAGAATTGAGACCTGGAGAGGTAAAGCCACTTGTCCTAGACCATATGGCTGGCAAAGGGGTGCAACCAAAACTCAGACCCTACTCCTAACACCTTATGTTTTTAATTTTTTTTTTATTGAGGTGTGTAAAGCAGATATATCTTAAGTGTACAGCTTGAGGAGCTATTATATATCGAACTACCCTGTAACCACTACCATCCAAAGGCCTGTCCCCAAGGGCCTGCTGTGTCCCTTCCCAGGAAATAACTTACCATCCCACATGTGGGTAACCACCCTTCTGACCTCTTTCACCACCAATCTCATCCACTCTTGTGAGGGGCCTAGAAATACTAGGAGCTCTGATTTCAGCTGGATTAGACTCCCAGGGAGCCTTCAACCAGGAAATCCCCAGTAAGAGCCCTCATATTGAGACAGGCCTTTCAGAGTAAGGACAAAGCCGAAACAACAATGCAAGCGGGCATCCTACTTGCCTGACCTCACACCCCTGAGGGGAAACATCTCCGTTCTCCAGGAAGAGAGAGTAAGGAACAGCAAGTCCACCCTTCTTCTATCCCTTTTTTCTCCCCCTGCCACCTCTGCTCTTCACCTCTTAGGACCGGCCTGCCCTCCTGCAGGCCCCGGTGCCTCTCCGTCCCTCCCCGTGGGCCACTGCAGGGCACCCAGCTTGCTCAGCAGAGCTGTAGCCCCACTTGCCCAAGGCCATGTGCACGTATGCAGGGCGCAGGCTATCCCACTGTTCAAGGCTGTGACGAGCTGCCCAAAGCTGCGTGCACATGTTCCTGCTCCCGCTTCTGCGTGGAAATCCCACCGCACAGGGCAACAGTGCTGTCCTCTCTTAAGCGCCCAGGTGTGAGGAAGGCACTCCCTTGCTCCCGGTGGAGTGGGTATGTGTACAGTAGAATGTCCCTTAATGAGGGTCCCCTGGGGTCTCGAAGACGGTAGAAACCATCATTCTGGCCACAGATTGAGCTGCATTCCCTCATCCAGCTTTACCAGCAATGAAGCTAATATTCTGCTCTCTTTATGTCCGATCTTTACGTTGCCTTCTTGATGTGTTCAGGATGTGGAAGGGAAAGGAAAGTTTATGGTATCATTAACCTGCGAGTCCAACACTGGTACCAACAAGTTTCCGGCATCCACATGGATTTAATTTCACATTTTTTTAAACTTAAAAAGCATGCCTAATTAATATCATACTAATTTTATAAAGAGAATATAATAAGACAATATTAAACAGTATCTAATAGTAAAACATAATAATAGGATGTCAATACCTGCTTGAAGAGAGAAAGTATTTTCTTGTATTTCCCGAGGGCTTAAATCTTCTGACAAATGGAGCTGCTGGATTCGGCCTGCTGCGTTTGCACTAGACAGGCTTCCGATGGAGGAGCGATCAGAAACAAAATTCCTATCTCTGAAAGAGAAAAATTAATGCACAGATCAATTTACCAACTTTCCTTCCTGGTGAGTACTTTCTGAGTCCTGTTTAAGAAATCTTTGCAAAAACAGAGAGAGGGGGTGTGGGGGAAGGAAGGGAAAGAGGGAGGGAGGGAATCTTTGCCTCCCCCAGGTCATGAAGTTTTCTGCTGTGTGATCTTTTTTATTTCACCTTCCAATCCACCTAGAATTGATTTTTGTGTATGTCGTCAGAAGTCATTTTTCTTTTTCTTTCTCTCTCTCTCTCTCTCTTTCTTCTTTCCTCTTTCTCTAAAACTATGATTACTGAACTGACTCAGCCCTGTGTGTTGGACAGACCGTCCTTTCCCACTACTCCACGCGGCCACCTTTGTTCCTGAGCTCTATTCTGCTGCAACAGATCCACCTGAACACACCTGAGTCTTCATCACTTTGCCTTCCTTTTCTGTGACACTCCCATCTTCAGTTAGTTTAGGAAAGTTCTCTTCCATTATACCTTTGAATGTTTGATTCCTTTTGTTTTATGCTCTAATTCGGGGACGTCAGCTATCTCACGTTGAAACCCCATCTTCTGCTGGACAAACTCACTTTTCAGTTGCTCGTACTCCTTTGTCTTCCTCCTCCGCATGAGATGCATGTTCTTCCGCTCGCCCTGCCTTTTCCTAACTCCAGTTTCCAGGGAATTTTTCAGTTCTGTGTAGGCTATTCGGTCTTTATCTTCTTTCCTAGCCCTGCACTCTCTCTCCTCCCCTTTCTATTGTCCTCTCATCTTTAATCTCGTTTCATAAATTTCATGTTCTGTTTAACATCTTTGATAAAATAAAGCACCTGTTTTTCTGTTTATTTAATGCAACATCTTTCACAATAGATTCTTTATGTCTTTTACCTGCTCTGTTCCCCTTTGTTTTATGTGGTACCATATTTTTTCATTTATTCATTTTTTATGACAGCAGCTCTACCTAGATTTCTGTGCCTCAATATAATGGGGATAGAGTCCCCCTCATCATCTGGGCCACTGGAGTCCCTCCTTCACTGCACCCTGGGAAATAATGGATCTGGGCCTAGGGATAGTCATAATCAGTGATCTTATCTGTCAACATAATTACGTTAAAACTCAAATTTAGGGATCACTCCACATTTTCAAGAGTATACAGCCCTTTAGGGACCACCTCTGGGTTTGGGACTGCAGGTGAATGGGCATGAACAGGCTTCCTGGAAACCGCCCAGACAACAATACCTGTTCATACTCAGGCCAGCAGGCAACCTGGCAACCTCCACTCCTCCAACCAGCTGGAGGCAGCTCAGGGGCAGGCACAGGCTCTGAAAGGATATTGTTTATCCAGCTGGGTGATAAATTCTCCCAGAGCACTGAGACATATTTCACATAGAATAAGTGTTGACATCTATCTTCTTCCCAGAAGAGTTTTCTAACACTGCACCATAGAAACGGTCTGGGAAAATTCCTCATTAGACATGAAAGAACTTGAGCCAAAGAGGAAAAATGGTTCCTTGAATTAAACTCAGTTCTGTGTGGTAAAAGGGTAGGTTTTGTTTTTAAAGTATTGCTTAACTATTATAGAATTTAATTTAATCATCAAGAAAATAACTCTCTCCAACGGGGTAACCCATAGCTGTTGGAATAAGCACCACTATAACACGGCCATCACTATCCTACAAACTCCAGCAAAAACAAAGCTTTGTCAAATGTTTATTTTGACCAAGGGACGAGCTCATTATGCCACAGCACTAACGAAAGATTTATAATTTATACTTTAAAGTATTTGAGACCTTTGTCTGATACTCAGAAAAGCAAAAATAGATTGTCAATAGTCTGTAATGTTTTTCCTTTGTTTTGGTAATGACAGAAATCGCCAACAAAACTACAGTTCATATATCTACGCTCTGTTCTTATGCCTTGGAATGCACCCTCAGGAAAAAACGAAGCTGAAAACGCATCGTTCTGCAATATCCCCAGAGTCATAATAAGCACAAAGTCTGAATGATATTGACTTGATAATATCTAGTCATATTAAAATTGACAAGTCACTCTGCTTTTATTAGCATGAGCTTTATTTATATGCCCCTGATCACAAATGTGAGCCCTTTCAGGCAGAAGTATTCCTTTGCAACTCTGACTCAGCACCTATAGGACTGAATTATGCTTTATAATAACTTTAGGTCACAGAACCTTCCCACTGTGGTACCAAAAGATGTTGTTATTCGGTATTTCAATGTATCTACTATATACAACATAGCAGTTATTACAACATTAGGAGAATTTCAATTTGAAATTATTTTAAAAAACTCATACTCATGGCTTTAACTGCCATTGGAATTGTACTTTTAAAAGAGAGATAATAAGGGGTTAACCCACCTTAGGGCACCAAAATGGAGACTGGAGAGAAAAGAAGAGTAACTGGACCAGGGGCAGGAACATGGCAATCATTCGATTAAGGATATTTTCTCCTATTTTAACTGAGGATCCTACATCTGTTCCTTACATGTAGGTTTTGCCTTCTCTGTGCAGATGAATGACATATATGCACCCAAAGACATTTTAGCAAAATCGCAGTCATCACTGTACTTGTTGGGGTTACGACAGGCATAGACTGATTCAAGAAAAAGGGGGCAAGACGATGTTTTCAAATTTGGGTCACTGGGCTTCCGTTCAACCTCCGTTTGCAGACAGACGGCTTCCTACATTCCTGGCACTGTCCTGGAGGCTGGTGATGTAAAGATCAACACATCAGGGCTCCCAGGGAGCTTAAAAGGCGACGCCTCCGACGCCGATTTAGAGCATGTTTGTGACAAGTACAAATGACTCTACAGAGCACGAATGATAAGGGCCAGGAGGGGGCAAGTCGAGCGATCTGTCCCCAGCCTTCAGTGACTAGGGCAAAGCGGGCAGGAGCCCACCCTGACTCACCCGCGTAAAATATGAAGCAGCTGCTTGATGCCTCCCCAAACGCGAATTTCCACGCTGGTCTCGGGGTCCTCACAAACCTGCACCAGGATCCAGACCACGCTCCAGAGCAGCTTCAGGTGGTCGGAGTGGAGCAGGCTGAGGAGGATGGGGATCCCCTCGTAGAGCTTCACCTGCTCCTTCACCTGGGGCTCGGCGCAAAGGAGGCGCAGCAACTCAGCCGTCAGCCTGGGGGGCGAGGATGAGGGTCACAGCGTTAGCAGGACATGGCCCTTACCTTGAGACAGAGCCACCATCACTGCGTGAACCACAAGCCTCAGTTTCTAAACCTAGGTCAATGCGCATTTTCCGTGACGGGCTGGACCACAGCCAAACGTCTCGGCTCTGCAGGCATACAGGCTCTGCCAGCGTCCTCGCAAAGTCTCTTCCTCTCACGTCCCTGGTCTGGATTCATGACACCACAGTCTTTCCAATTTCCCAAGCCAGAGAGTGGGAATCATCCGAGACACTTCCTTCTCCCTTCCCAACCTGCCACCGCCGATCGAGAGCCTTCAGTGCCCCTATTTCCTGGGCAACTGATGGGTCAAGTCTCTTGCAAGTCGTGCAGCTGGCTAACCCCACAGATCCTCCCATTCTTTGATATGTGATTATGCTCAAGGTATAAGCCCCTCTGTCATCTACCTCTCCAAGATTCCCATTCCCATTCTGCTTCCGAAGTCCTTTCCCCTGTGCCAATTTTCCATAGCTCCTCTCCCTCCCAGGCTTTTATGCTGTGACATTCAGAACATGTTCTTTGGTGAACAGTATTCTTCACCTTCTCAAACTTTCTACACAACACACTCCTTCCTTGTTCTCTGTGGATCTCATTGTGCAGCTATATTCCCCACCCCACAGCCTCCACACACTGCTATCAGAGTAATCTTCCCCCAAAATAAACCTGATCATGCTTACAATCTTTCTGTGAGGCCCCGTTCTGTTCATGATAACAACTACACTCCCTCCCAGCTGATGTGGCTCAGCAGTTGAGCATCAATCTATGATCCAGGCGATCGAGGTCTGATTCCCAGTCAGGGCACATGATCAGGTTGCTGGCTTGATCCCTAGGGGGGCGGGGGGGGCATGTAGGAGGCAGCCGATCACTGACTATCTCTCATTGATGTTTCTCTCTCTCTTTCCCTCTTCCTTTCTCTCTCTGAAATCAATAAAGACATATTTAAAAAAAAACACCTACACTCCTTATTTAGCTCAAAGAACCCATCGTGGCCTGACTAATGGTGTCCTATTGCCTTGGCCATAACATACGGAAATGAGTGAGGTTATTGTGTAGATCAAATGGGTGAACACACAGAAGTGCTTAGAGCAGCGCCTGGCTGAACTTAGCTATATTTTTAATGTATCATTAATACCGCCTGGTCTAGGTTTCTGGCACTTTTGCCCCTGCATTCTTTGCTCCAGCTGTGCCCAGCCGTGCAAGACCCTCTAACATATACCACTTCGTGTGGGAGCACACTCTGCTCCCCCTTGCTCGCTCCCTCTGCCTAGATCACTCCTCCTCCCCTCCGGAAACCTGGCATGCCCCTCGGAGGCCCCGCTCCGTGCCCCCGAGCAGCCTGTGCCCCGCGGAGCGCCCCGCGCACAGAGCTATGACGAAAGATGAACACGACGCTGGTGCATCTTGTCCAGCCTCCGACTTGCGTGGCTGTCCCCCCTACACTGCACACTGGTATCTTATCCATCTTCGGCTTCCCAGCACTTGTGTTGGGTGAATGCGTTCAGATAGCCAAGTCTATAAGGACAGTTTGTAAAAGAATGTTAAAATGGCTTTAAAGAAGAATCCAGGGAGACTTGCTACGAATTAAGTGTCAGAGTTTTATTAGTTGACTTTCTGTTATTTATTTTGCCTCTTCAGAAAATTACTGACTCACCTAAACATCAAATGATGTCGGCTGCAAAGCTCTATTTAGAAACAAACTAGTAACTATCTGTGTACAGTAATTCTTTACAGCAATATGTAGTTCACTTGAAAATAATTTCATTTTACTCTAGATTCTGTTTTGAGTTATAAAAACAGGAAGTCATGAAACAGGTCAGTACCTGTCTTAATTTATTTTACTAGCCTTAAACAAAATAGATTTTAGCAATTAATCATCTCTTCTACACACAATCTGAAATTACTAAAAACAGAGCCACCTCAGAGTTAATTTCTTTAAAGAAACAAGGTGTAAATAAATGCAATAAAAAATATATTAAAGATGTGATCATAAAATTTATACCATTTGATTCTATGCCCAGATATAGAAATAATGCAGGACCAAAGAAAGATAAATTGATACACCACTTTGCTCTATTTTCTTTATATAAACTTAAAAAGAAAGTAAATGGCACGCTGACTCATAATATTCAGTTAGCAATGTAAATAACATGACATAATAAAAAAATAACAATCATTTTTATCAAATAAAAGACACTGCCTTTCTCCCCTTGAGCATCCTACCTTTTGGAAAGTAAGTCATATTCATGTAAAATCATCAGCAGATTTTCTACAACATTGAGTTCACTAATCTTCTCCCTACATTCTGGGCTACAAATTGAAAACCATTAGTAACGACTGAAAACATAGGTTGCCATGTTCACTTATTTAATATCCTAGCTCTTCCATTATCTCAGGAGGAGACACAAATGCAATATAACTCCATGGGGCAGGGCTCCATCAAGTTCCAACATTCGATAAACATTACATGTCCCAAATGTGTTTAACAACAGTATGATGATAACAAATCCCTTTCTGCAAAGAGAGCCATGCTGTTCACCAAAAAAGCAATGAGCAGCGCCATTCACAAGAGCTAAAACATGTAAATGAGCTACTTGTCCCCTGGCAGACAAATGGACAAAGAAATGTGATACATACAATTGAGTATTATTCAGCCATAAAAATAAAAAACATGGATGAGCCTGGAGAGCATCATGCTAAGTGAAACAAGCCAGACAGAGAAAGGCAAATACCGTGTGTTATACTTATGTGTGGAATCTAAAAGAGCAACAAAACAAAAAACTGATTAAGTAGAAGCAGAGAAGAGAATGTTGGGTGGTTACCAGGGTCTGGGAAGAGGAGGAGATGGGAAGAAGTAGGTTAAAATAAAGGGTATAAACTTGCAACTATAAGAAGAATGAATCCTGAGGATCTAATGTACAGCACGGTGACTACGGTTACGAATATGGTATTGTACACTTGAAAGTTGCTGAGGGCACATCTGGGTCCTTATCTCTCTCTCTCTCTCTCTCTCTCTCTGACACAGACACACACACACACACACACACACACACACACAGTTAACTCTGTGAGGTGATGGATGTATTATCTTGATCTTGGTAATCACCCCACAATGTATATCAAATCATTATGTTGTACATTTTAAATATATACAATTATATTTGTCAACTATTCCCTATAAAGTTGGAGAGAAAAAAACAAAAAACAAAAAAGCAATGATCCACTTACTGGCATAAAATACATTTATAGCTCTTTTATTTAAAGTAATCACAACATCCATAAGAGGACAGGTTATCTAGATGTTTTAAGGGTAAAAATGTTTGAAATTTTTTTATATGTTAAAATAAGTACACAGGAAAGAATGAAAAAAGGTTAGGGAGATTCAGTTGTCAAAGAAATATCATGGTAATCTTGAAAGTAGAAGTAACTGAGGGTTGGATGAAAGACTAGGTAAATATTTCTGGTCAGAAAAAAAAGACAGAAAATTTTAAACTGTGATTCACCTTTCCAACAACTTAAATTTTAAAATGGAACTTTTCCATCCAGGACCCTCCTCAATAAATTAATGGTAGGTCATGCTTATCTTTCTAAGTAGGGAGCAAAGTACCCAGAGAAAGGAATCTAGTTTGTAGCTCTGCCACCTAAATTGCTACTGCAGCAGAACTGGAAAATATATCCAAGTACACTTACCTTTCAGCCAGACTAGCCAGGGCCAGGAGGGTGCCCAACAGAACATTCGTATCTCGGGCACCAAGTAGATTTACTAATGTCTGAAAAAATGAAGTAAAAAAAAAGCTTAATTATATAAGTGCTACATGCTCCTCGAACAGTATAATGTTTCCTTGTAAAGATCATAGAGGCTTAACCTTGAAAGGAGTTCTGTTAAACACAGCCTCCAGCTCTTTACAGGGGACAGGTGTCGATCCCCTCCTTACTCAGAACTCCTGACATGAGCGCCTTGTAGCCTTTCCTTGCCCAGGACAGAAAGGGAAAGAGACTAAGCCACATGCCAGCCTGGTTCTCACACTTCCCTCTATTTCCATGTGCCCAAGAGGTCACTTTGCCTCTTCTGACCCCTCCCCAAGGAGAAGTGGCGGTGACTAATGACATAAACACCAGTCATAATAACTAAGTCCATGTAATACTAGTCATGGAGAACACATCTGAGTCAGGCACTGTGTTAGTCACTTCCCAAATTATGGAACTATTTTTCACCAAAATGTTGAAACTGTCATTTTTTTCCAAAACTAAGCTAGATATGTCAACACTACCAAGCACTCCATTTGTCTCTCAGATTTCTAATCAACGTTGAAAGAGCATGAATCAGTGCTCCCAGGCATCATCCTGAGGAACATGGCTTAGCTAGAAGTCTTCTGGGCTGTATCAGCTGACTTCTCTGAATTCCCATTAATGCAAGTTCATTTCTCATCTCTCTCCATTTTTGGAACTCAAAAGTACACACCCAAACATATTCCAGGTCAGAGCAGCAACAGCTGCTGGATGATTTGGGGGTTCCTCCCGTAGGATTTCATGCATTTCTATGAAGCTATCATTGTTTCTCTGATCCTTTCCTCTTTTCCATCTATCGTTTTTCCTTTCCTCTCTGTCTTCTAACTTCATGTTTTCCAAACGTCAGTCACTGACATCCTTATCACAGTTTTTGCCACATCCACTTAAAACCTCAATGCTACTCAAAAACGTTTTTCAATTTCTAAGCAATAGTATCAGTGAAATGTATATAGCTATTTAAAGGAAAATGTTGACCTACAGATCACCTAGAATCATCCCCTACACAATGAGCAACCTCTTAGGCAACCTTGCTCTGATGTACACTGGAAAGTGGCTTCCTGGGATATGAGAAATCAACAGATTATTGAAACGTGGCTCCAGGCAGCTACCATCTAAACAGTTTTGCTATAAATATAAATGTAGTCTGTTTTGGTTAAACCTGCATTCAATCATCTTGTAATGCACATGTGGCCCATCTGCTCACAGAATTATACTATCTGATGATGAGGTTGAACCCCATGAGACTGGCCTACAGACCATGGCAATTCCATATGGTGCAAACCAATATAACCCTGAAACTCATTTTTTGGAATGGAAAAAAAACACCTCTTTTTTTAAATTGAAATATTCCAAATTTTATGAGATAGGTACTATTATTATTAACCCAACTTTGTAGATGGAAAGTGAATAGTTTCTGGCATTTTAATAGAAATCAAATGACACAAGAAATATGTTTACCCAAACCTGCTGTTACAGAAGTCTCTCTTACATTAGACAAAGTAAACTTGCACTCAGTGAAAATCTTAAACATTAAACTGGGCTTCTCAAGACAAGAGTTGTGATCTAAAAGTCTTCCTGCTGGTGCCATATGTATTTATATGAATACATACATTGTATTTGTTTATTTGTAAACACACACCTAGGATCAGTTTATGTATAGCCAGGGTTTTTCAAGCAACATTTAAATTAAGCAATAAACTTAGCTGGTATTAAGTGACAGGGAAAAAGTTTCAGAAACCCCTGTATTTGCTCCTTGGGCTGACAAAGAATATGAAAGGGTTAGCAGAGATTTACAATTTGATGCTAGGATAGTGGATCTGTGGCTTATAACTTCACAGGACTTGACCACAGGGCTCTGAACCCCATCCAGTGCGTGAACCATTGCCACATGGAGCAGAAGTGTTGACTCTCCTGGACCACTCACCTTGTGGGCTCCGCTGGTGGTGACCCATTCTCTTTGGTCTTTGACAGCAGCAAGTTTCTGAAAAATATCTATAAAGGAAGGGAAAAGCTCAAACAGGAATTTGGCACTTAAAGAGGGCAGTACTCATAGAACCTTGGGTCTGAAGTATAGACGGGCAAGCAGAGAAAGGGCAAATGGAAACAGAGAGAACACAGAAGGAACAGTGGAGGGAGGAGGAACAGAGTTAGTGTTGTTTTAATTCAAGTACCTCTCAAGCTCAGCTAGCATTGCTTGTATAACACTACTATAATAATGAAAGAAAGGAGATAGAAAAAGGCAAATCTTTCCTTCCACAGAAGTTAAATGAGTTTCTTAACATCATTACAAGTTCGAAGTAAAACTGTTTTTCAAAGACCCTCCCTATAAATATTTGTACTTTATATAAAGAGGAGCGGGAAAGCCAGCAGGTGTGATGGGCCTAGCAGGGCTCCTCAGCTGCGGAAGACAGTTGTTCTCAAAGAACCTTCCTGGCGCCCGAGCTGGCTGCCTACACTTCTCTCCCTATAACTGGATCAGTGTGCTGTCCTGTAAACAAACACGGTAAACCTGCCTGTTCACAAGGAAAGTGGGCTGGGTGCGCCAGCTGCAGGAGGTCTCCGGCTCATCAAACCTGAAGAAGATGGAAGGTGGGGCTGGGAAGAGTCTCCAGAGAGAGAAGACTGAGTGACCAGAGAACAGCTCACCCACACAGACCAACATTTTCACATTATTGTCATTCCATGAGCGTTTTTTTCTGTTTTATGTTCTGGATGTTCCAAATGTTTTCAGATAGGTATCATTATTAACCCAGCTTTATAGATGATAACTGAATAGCCTCTGACATTTTAATAGGAATTGGAGGAGCCAAAAAATATGTTTACCAAAATCTGCTGCTATGGAAGTTTCTGTTGCATTAAAGAAAGCTTGTGCTCAATGAAAATCTTCTTAAACATGAAATTGGGCTTTTCAAGGTAACAGCTGGGATCTAAAAGTCTTCCTTCTGGGTATATTTTGTCACCGAATATAATAATTGGCATGGAGTCTCAACACAAAACTGAGCATGGATATTCAGAGTATCCCTTTTCCTGCTGCAAACACCATGTTACTTATTCTAAGAAGTGCAGAGTTGGCTGCTCGTGCCCCGCCCCCCATGCTTACATGTCATGTTCACCAACTTGTCCACACTGTGCTGCTCTTCGCTGTAGCCAAGGTACTCGTTGGCCACGATCTCCATGTACTGCAGGAGGGACCAAACCAACAAGCAAGTCAGAGGACACCACAAGCACACAAGCAGGAGACCAGATTGTGCATTTCTGAAAATGAGCTGTAGGTGGCACAACACATTAGCCAAATAATAGTGCTTCTGGGCCCGGTTCACTCAAATGCAAAAAAGTGATTGAGTTCCTGGATTCTTTGCCTTCTCTTGAATGCCCTGAAGTTAAAAACTATATAAAGTCCCTGAATAATCTGTAAATGAGCAAGTCTATAGTGTAATGGAGTCTCCAAGTATAAGATAAAAATAAGATGCATAATATATGGTACATAGAGTTTTATTTCTTCAGTGTAACTTTTCAGTAGAATTTAATTTCTGATATTATAATGGAATAAAGTGGAAAAGAATGGCATTTACAATATAATTTTATGAAAGACTATTTCATTAAATGAGGTAAATACCCAGACAACTTTTTAAAATCTTAAAAACAAAAGCTAGATACTTTGTACCAATTTCCCAAAAATGGAAATAAAATAGATTTAACATTAAATTGCCATTAAACTTAATCTTCCCTTAATAATTCAGAGTGAGCCTGCAGGGCCACAGGCTTATTGTGAAAGCCATCCTTCCTGTGTGTGCTGTGGGCTCTAGGAGAATGGACTGTTTCAACTCGATGCCATGCCATGTTTTATCAAATTAACAAACCCAAACATTTGATTAGCTCAGCACATATATTCTCCTGCTTAGTTTCCCTCAGTAGTTACCAAAGCAGAAAAATAAATGAAGTTAAAATCGCTCCTCACATTGTCATTTATTGGTTAAAATTTTAGTGAGCACAGTAATTCTTTGTGTGTGAGAAAGTTGTGAAGAGCTTCATAACCGATGTCTTCTCCCATCATTTGGTACGTGCAAGGCTGAGGACTTGGGCCGGCCAGCCAAGGCCTATTTCTTTTCATTACTAAGGACATGTGACCTTTTATAGCACTTTCTGGGTTCAACAGGCAGGGTAAAGTGAGCCCAATTAGCCAGAACAAAATGTCATGAGCCCCGCCCTGCTCTGTGAGTATCCGGCCTCACTCGCACACTTATTAACCCTGCCTCTTCCTCCCCTTGGCAGGCAGCTTAAGGTTAGAAAAATCCCATCTTCTGTCACATACTATGTAATCCTTGCCCAGAGCCACGGCACAAAATGGGAAGGCAAGACAAGCCACTGCAAAAGGAATCTTACCTGAGCAAGGTTTTCAATACCACCCAAGCTATGGAGTATTTCCTAATAAAACAAAAACAACAGAACATACATAAAAGATGATGCTGAAGGGAAAGGTGTATTTTATATGCAGCTTCTTTATTAAATCATGAGATTTATAATTATTTTCTGAAGGTACACATTCTAACATAAACATGGAAAACTTGGATGCCAGTCATTCATATTACATTTAAGATAAACTGCTAATAAAAATGAACGTTGTGTTGAGATTCAGAAAAATTAAATATGTTCAGAACTTCAGCCAGACTCATTTTTTCACTTCCTCCCGTGTTATCAAAAAACATTAGAACACGGAAGAACTGTTAGCTATCGTTCCCTTCAACCCTCTCATGTTGCAGATCAGGAAAACAAAGACCCAGAAAGGTACACCATTTGCCTAAGTGACAGGCCAAGATAAGAATCCAGAGTCACCCAATTCCCAGGACCTTCCTCTGGGTCTCTGCCCGGTGTGGTCGCAGACCAGCAGCTCCAGGCTCGCCTGGGAGCTGAGTAGAAACGGGGAATCTACTCACCCAGACCTGCCGCGTCACTCTGAGTTTAATAAGACCCCCAGGTGATTCGCACGCTCAGCGGAGTCTGAGGAGCTGCGCTGTGGCAGACTCCACTGCAGGGCTCTTAGAAGGATTAGGCTCACGGTCTTCCTAAACCTGCACTACTCTAAACCAGCGTGGGGGTCACCTTTGCAAAACGTGTCCTGACAGAGGTCTTTAAATCCAGTCCCCTAAGAAGGCATTTCACTAGCCTTGCAGCTGCCCTCGTGGGGACTGGGGTGAGGAGGGCCGGGAGGTGGAGGCGGGCTTGGGACTCTATGAATAGTAAATGCTCTCGGGTTGTTCGCACTGACATTTCTTTCCAGGCCAGCGTGGTTCAGGTGGCCCTAGCCTGTTTAAATAAAGCTGAATTGACGTCTCACTTCTTATTTAACACGCACACAGGGAAGTTACTTGAAATATAAACACGGCCATCGGTCCAAGTCCGGGAAGTGCAGGGGGATGAGGACCTGGGTGCGGGAGGCACCCGTGGGCTCCGCCGGGAAGCCAGCCGAGGGGCAGGCTGGGGACACGCTCGGGCCCTCAAGGCCTCCTGGGTCAGGGCTTCCTTACTCTGTGCAAAGGGATCTGGGAAACACTAAACATACCCTTGTTTAAATTAAGAGTGAAGGGACATTTATAACGCAATTAAAAATAGTTCTGTGACTACCGACCAATTCGAATTCTCATCATTGCTATTCAGTCTAGAAAAGTATAATTAAAGAACATAAGAATATTGTATACATTATCCCTAGTTGTAGCAAGATATTTTATACATATAAAAATAACATTTTAAAACCATTAACATTTATCCTACAAATATTTTTTTCACTCCTGTTATGTAAAAGCCCTGGGTTGGGCTCTGAAGACGACACAAACGTAGATGACAGAGGCCTGCTTCCGGAGCCCTAGGCAGGCGTAAGGCAGACACGCTAAGGACAGGAACTTCAGGCAGAATTTGGTCAGTGCTATTAGACAGTTACACATGAAGTGCTGACACCCCAGAGAAGGGACACGTGACAGCCTGCTGAGAGGACTAAGGAAGCCTTCGTAAGGGTGATGGCCTCTGATGGGCTGAGAAAGATGGGTAGACTTGCTGAGAAAAAAGTGGGGGAACAAGGGAAGATAAAGGAGATGCCAAGCAAAGAGAACAGTGAGCTCCAAGGTGCACAGAAGTTGTGTAGAAAGAACATCAAGATGTTCCATGCCCTGCAAAGCACTCCCGTAACTCCGCGAAGGGCACTGCTGGGACTAATGTTAGAAACGCAGGTGGGATCCCACCGTGGGAAGACTGGGACATGCACCTGAACTTGGGCTTCATCATGCAGACCATGAGACCAATGAAACGTGAGGCCAAGGGACTGATCAGAATCAGCTGTAAGGACTTCCCTCTAGTCTTAGAAGGAACTGAAGAGGCGAAGTGTCAACTGGAAGCCCAGCTGGTTGGCAGGGGCCGTGGAGATGCAGAGGGAGAGGCAGGGAGTCTCTGAAGCGGAACGACCCACTGAACAGGAAGACACGTTGGAAGAAAGGGAATGACGTAGAAGACATCACCATATTTGAGCCGGGGTGACTGGGGACAGGGACATGATTAACAAACACCAGGGAAGAGAGAAAAACAGGCTTGGTTAGAGGAGACTTGATTTAGATACAGTGAGTTGCTGATGGGATATGCAGGTGGAAAAAAAGTACAACAGGCCACGAAAAATGAGACGAGGGAAAAGATTGAAATCTGAGAGCTACTGACATGAAGGAGATTTAAATTTGAAACTTGGGAATGAGAAGACACCAAGGGAAAGAATAATGTTTAAATGATGTGGTCACGGTCAGACTCATTTTTAAATGTTTACCTTGACGAGAAATATATCTACCCAATAATTAATGTTAACTATATGGGACTAAGTCAGTGTTTCCCAAACTATGTCATGGGAATGACCGTTCTACTCTGTGCAGTGGGTTGTGTTAGAAATTCTACCAAAAGAAAAAAAAAAAGTTTCATGATCAAACCCAAATTGCTTGGGAAAAGCCAGGTGCTAGGTGACAGTTTAACGAGGGACTTCATCACAGGGCTCCGTGCGGCTGCTGCTAGGCTGCCCTGCGCTCTGAGTCCCCAGGGGAAAACCAGAGGCAGCCTTTCCTCGACATACCCATCGAAGCACAGCTCCTTTCCCAGATACTTAACTGCTGGGAAGCACAGTTGGGAAGTGCTGTTATCAGGCTTATACTTCAAAGAGGCCCTGGCCAGGGGCTCAGGTGGTTGGAACGCCATCCCACGCACTGGAGGGTCACGGGTCCGATCCCTGGTCGGGGCACATACCCCGTTTGTGGGCTCGATCCCTGGTCGGGGCCCATACTCCGTTTGTGGGTTCTATCCCTCGTCGGGGCACATACCCCTTCTGTGGGCTTGATCCCTGGTCGGGGCACTTGTGGAGGCAGCCAATCGATGACTCTCTTTCACACTGATGTCTCTCTCTCTCTCTCTCTCTCTCTCTCTCTCCCCCTCCTGCCTCCCTTCCTCCCTCCCTCTCCCTCTCCCCCTCGGGTGAGGATAAGAAAATAAATTTTTTAAGTTTTTTTAAAAAGGGCAAAGAGGCTTTGTCACTCTCGGAAAGTTCTGTTGCTATGTACTCAAGAATTTACCCTTCATTTATGAGCTAAACACTCTACCCTTCCAGGCCCTTCTGGAGACGAGTGAGGCCAGGAGGTGGCTCACAGGTGCGGGGTCCCCCCTGTATTTCCTCTGGTTACACCCCTGGGCTTATTGCTCTAACCTGAGAGCACCAACTGGAGAGGAACAAGACCACCAGGCACGCGCACACCCGGGCTTAGCTTCTCTGGGCGCTGATCTGAAAAGCAAACATGAGCACGGCAGCGCCTCCTGGGGCCCTCTCAGGCCTCCGTGTTTTCTCCTGGTCACAGCCAGAGGGTCACAAGACTGGCTTCTGTACTTAGGTTCTGAGCCTAACGACCTGGAGAAAGTCCTTTAGTCAATCAGATCTTCAGTTCAATGTGCAAAATGTGAGCAAATGTCCCCGTTCTGCCTATTCCCTGAGCTTTTCCTTTTTTTAAAAAAATTGATACAATAATATAATATGGGTAAAAAGTATGCCTAAAAAAATGGAGCACACTGCATGCCAATATGGGTGTTGTTAGCACACCACTATTGCTACCACAGTGGAAAATGCCACTGCCATTAGACATCTCACCCTGAACCTACTCAGCAAGGAAATCAATGCTAAGCACACGGCAGTGAGCCCTGATCCTGAATCATTGACAAGGTCATTTTCTGTGCAAACTTATCACTGGTTCCACACTGCTGACTCCTCCTTCATGATGTTAAGGCCACTCGATGCACTAGCCTCCATTTGTCTTCCAAGGAGTAATAGTAACCACTCTTCTAAGAGGCTTGAGGAAGAACTGAAAAGGTCTATTTGAAAGCTATTGAATATAATGTGCTACAACTGTACCCCTTTACACTCTTAAACATTACTCAGAACCCTAAAGAGCTTTTGTTTATATGGGTTATATCTATTTATAGTTACCATACTAGAAATTGCAAGGGAGAAATTCCTAAAACACAAGAGTACATATCCCATCAGCCATCAGGACCATGGCATCATCACACAACCTGCAGCCTGCAGCCCCAGGAACAGTCCACTGCACACTTGTAAGGAGTGGGAGCAAACGGGCAAACAACATCTGAGCATTATTTTGAAGACCACTGTGATCCTGTGGAGCCCCAGAGAGGGATCCAGAGGCCTGTAAGCAGTTCCAGGACCACACTTGGAGAAGCATTTGCTACTGTGTCACTGGATCGCTGTCCATCATATCCCTAATGTGGGGCTTAATGAAGGGGAAAGGGTGAGAGTGCAGATCTGTGTTCGGGAGCAAAGAACAGCAACGGCAACCAAAAAAGGACAGTTGAAGCCAAACTAGGAAGATGGGGAAGGAGATGATAAAGAAAAGGACTCTGGGAAAGTCAGCATTTAGAAAAGCAGGGTTTCTAAAAGGAGCAAGTAAATAATACAGAAAAACAAACAGTGCCGAGGAAGAGCTAGAGGCTCTCAGGGTTGGTGCAGGCCACTCAGCTAGACTATCTTCTTACTGTTGCTTCTAAGGTAATTGTCGTTTGGAGCTTTTGAGGGTTTCTCTTTATCCTTGGTAAGTAATGTGCTGGTTTCACTATAATGGATCCAGTTGGGAATTTATCTTTACGCTGCCTGGGACCCCAATTATACCTGAGATCTCATATGTCTCCCTTTAATTATGGGCAACTCTAAGCAATTATGGCTTTTCTTTCATCCAGTGTTTTCTTGCTGGAATCTCCATTAAGCACATCTTGAAGCCTCTGCCTACTGTCAGGCAAGATTCGATGTGGGCGCCACCAGTCTGCAGCCTCTGAGTGGAGGAATGGTGACTGAAGCATGGCACTCTATGGAGTATTCAAATGGCTTCCAGACAGACCTTGTACACAGATTTCAATGTCCAGATAGAAAGTAAGTGGGTTCCTATCCTGACCTTTCAAAAAATGTACTAATGAAGGTAAGATGGAAGATTTGAAGGAATAATGGATTAAGAAAGGGTTATTATTATGATAAAAGGAAACAGGAAGGGAGCCACTGACACTGTAAGGAAGAGAAGAGATGGGAGGGAGAGCCTTGGCAAAGGCACAGGACATTTCCTCTGAAACAAGAAGAGAAGTAAAGTTGCATGATAATCCAAATATTTCAAGCAACAAAGAGGAGGGAATAAGAGAGCTCCCACCGGGATGTCTTCAGATTTCCCTGCGACAAAGATGTAACGCGATGAGAATGAGAGGAGCAGGAGGTGGTTTGGGTGTGAGAAGTGGAGATGGCTTGGAACAGCTGCTGTGGATCCTGCGAAACTCGCTGAGACACTCCAGCATAAACTGTCGTAAACCCCAGCCTAGCTTTGTGACTTTGCCCAATAATTCTTGGCAACTTAGATATTAAATAGCTGCCTGAGCACCTGCTCTTCTCTGAGAAAAGAGTGCTGGGAGGAGAGACTCAGGGAGTATCCCCTTCTATGGAAAGGCTGGAAATCAGGGAGAGCTAGTTTAATATGTGTTCTGGTCATGAAACCCCATAAATAGATTGCTGAATTCTTTCCTTTGGAGAGCAATACATCAACCCTGTTTCAATCTATCAAGAACTGGGTTGAGAAAGGAGACCAGCTGAGCGTGACACAACTGTCACCAATTTTCTGAACAAACAGAACATCTCTAAGGCAAATATTTTCCTAATTTCTATAAGCCAAAACCTAGCTCTTGACCTTCCTCCATGAATCCTTTCATTACTATCACATATGCAACGTTCTTGTCCAAATTGGGACATGCTGGAGAGCAAAAGAGGGCGCTATTAATAATTAAGTAGGTACAATGAGCACACTGGGCCTGACCAGGGCAACGTGGAACATATGGTCCACCCTTATTACATCTGACCCACACTACATAGCTAATGGCAGCTCAGAAATGCAGGGAACACACGGTTCTGTATGGTTGGTCAGGAGGGAAATGGAAAACTCCCAGAAAACTGTGAGAAACCAGGACAGACACCCATCAGAGTATGCCTAGAGTCCCACATTCAAATGACTGTGGTTAGCACAAAGCCAGCCTAGAATACAGGAGGAGGGAGGGAGCGATTCTTCTAAAGGAAAAATGTGGAGCCACCATGACTCTGGAGCCCTCCAAAGAGCCCCCCACTTGTCACTGTTGACTTTGACCTAGTGAGCTGCTCAGCCTTGAACACGCTTGAGGGTGTGACCAAGCGCATACCTCTCTGAACTGCCTGTGGTTTAAAATGCCAGGTAATAATGAAACATAGACCAGCGTGTAATTCACTCATTCCCACAGGTAATATAGTAGAAATGTACAGGTTTTTTGGTCCCCATTAAATCACTTCTCTCCTATCTTTTAAATAGCAGATGAGAGACTTCCCAAATTTGGAAGCTATTGAGTTGTGAGAGAAAAGGGTTAACACAGTTTGCCTTGAAGAAAGACCCACCAGTTTTGTATTTCATCTGCATCACAAGTAAAAAACATCTTTGTTTTTTCCAACCAACCTGGTAACACGGATCCCTCATGAGCAGTCGTAGGCAGATTAACACTCTCAGGAAGTGAATAGATGGGGCTCGATTAACCCACTCCCTGAAAGAAGGAAACAGGAGACAAGTTTGCTCAGGTTTGGAGGACCAGCGCACCAGCTCACGAGCAACTCGAGACTACGGACAGTGAGGAACAGACGGGAACGGCACTGGTTTATTTCAAACTTGATCTGCAGTGGGGGCTGTTGTTCGGGACTTAAACACTTGACCCATTTTAATGCAAAACACATAAAAACCCTCATTAACACTCTGAAGTAGAGGCCCCCCAAATTATGCGGTTTACAGTGCCCTTACCGCCTCCGGACAGCCCCTGACCAAACCAAAGAGCTAGAAGTTTCAATAATTAGGTTCAACTTAATAAGAGTATATGCCCTAATAACTAAAACATAATGCACATACATCAAAAGAAAAATGTTTATTTTACTCTTAAATAACCATATTTACTTATCAATGGGGTATGTGCACCGCAGACACTGAGCAACTTCTCGAGCTCTGAATTAAGATTGGACAGTCCTCCCCCTCTGTCCTCTCCCACCTGCCTTTTATCGCAGCGACCACGGAAAACCCAGCTTCAGAAGGCTATGCCGTCATCGAAGGAAGCAGCACGAGCTTAATGTGGAAATCGTAAACCTCCCTGAGTAGCGTGCACTGTGTCTGATGGATGTCCAGTATCACTGCTTTCTGTGACACCCCTGGCTGTTCTCTGAAGCCCCTGGGGCACTTCAGGGGCAGTTCAGGTGCCTGAGTCTTAGGTGTTTCCCGTGACAGCCTTTTGTGACTTCTTAACACTGGCACCTCCCAGGGAATTAGAAAGATGTTCTCTAAGGTGACATGAGGCCAGTCACATGCAGCTGTTCTAACCCAAGTGCGTGTCGTGGTGCAGGGGCCACCAACACCACACAGGGGGACCCGAGGAAGGAGGAAGGAAGCTGAGCGCCGTCCTGTGAGCTGGACCGACAGTGGAAGGCAGTGCAAAAAGCTAACAGAAACCAAACAAAGTGTCTGCTGCCCCGCGCTTAGCCAAGAAAAACTAAGGAAGGGAAAGGAGCGATGAGAGCCCACAGAATTCCTCCCTCCCTCTCCCACCTCCACAGCTGGGCTGGCTGTGCATCGGGCAAGATTACTTTAAAGATCAGACCCTCTGCCAAGTGAAGCATTTATCGGGCTGTGATCTCAAGCCAACTGTCACCTGGCTCATCCCGTATTAACCCTTAGTGGTAGAATTCAGCTTCAGCTTCAGCTTCTCCATGATCCTACGAAGTTCAACTCTGCCCCCAAACCTGCACATCACAAACCTGAGTGCAGAAGTCCCACCTTCCTCAAAGGCAGGACGGACATCTGTGGTTATGGCCACTGGAGGTATCGCCCCCCCACCCTATCCCACTCCCACTCCACCCTAAGCCACTCACCATTCCATCCATCTACTGAGACTTGGCTCATGGGAAGAAGGCTGGTAAACATGCTTTTCCCATAGCCTTATGTTCCCAGGGATGACTGACTGCTCCTTGTAGATCAGAGCCCCCAGCAGAGGCCTGGCCCAGTGAGGAGAGGTTGGACAAGATGTCCCAAGAGCATTGCTGGCTGAGAACTATTCTTGCTATCACCAAGACTTCTGGCTGGAGCTGCCCACCACAGCTGTGGTCAACCCTACAATCCTTCTCCAGCCCAGGCATGTGACAGTGACACCTTTCCTATGAAGGCAGACCTCAGTTTCTTCTGAAAAGGACAGGAGTCAACCCATCCCAGGGCTACCAGCCAGGAAGAACTACCCAAGGCCACACTGGGAAGCTGCACAACAGTTCATCCTTTCCCGCATTGTAAAAAATGATGCAGATTTGAAATGCACTTTGAATCTAAAACACAATCACCTATGGGAACACTTGCAAGGATATGGTTATTCTGTGGCTCCTCTTACAGAGAGAACACCTCTCATCTTCATCAGTAGGGCGATGGCACATGACTGCTCTCCCTTTCATGGGCTGGGGTTGGCTAAAGACAGTGTGGAGCCTGCGCTCTGGCGCAAAGACACCGCATCCCGAAGACCTAACAAAAATAATGCTCAAGTTGCAACAGCTGCTGGCAGCCCAATGAGGGCTAATGCTGATTGCTTTTCATTCCTTAAAGGAAACGTCGTGGGACATAGTAAGAGGTTATTCATGGTACAAATATGTGTGCTCTTGGTATTTTTCCTAACTATAATCTTCAGGAGAAAAGTTCATGGCCTTTCCAACGTTTTAATATCAAAATAAGTATGAAAAGTTATGTTTCCTCCCCCTCTAAAAAAAGAAAGGAAAAAAATTCCACAATAGATTTTTTTTTCTTTAACTTTTAAAGGAGTGTAAATAAATGAAGAGTTCCAGAAAAGTCACAGAGTTGAGAGTTCTATTCTAAACAAATGGCCATTTTTTTTTTTTTGCGTTTTTGGGACCGAAGCCTAGAGCTATTAATATTTCTGCATGATTTGGCCTCCACTGTCATAAATGTAAATAGAATTCCTGGTGTCTGAGTCCTCTGGCTTTTCCTCTCTGAGCACTGACCTCTAAAGGAGCAGTTGTCCCTTCCTTGGCTCACCGCCCCTGACCCCCACAGGAACGTGGCACGTCGCAGGGAGCTCTGGCGTTCAAGGGGAATGACGTGCTCTGTAAGACGATCTGTAGCTCTGCTTGCCAAGGGTTGGAGGACTAGGAAACACACCGCTCAGTGCCACTGGAGGAGTGCAGAGAGTAATCGTGACAGACTGTAAAGTCGGTGCCTTCATTTCCCTGCAGCAGCAACTTCGCATGGAGGGGCGGAGTGGCTGGCCCCAGGCTGCACAGGGGTGCAGAGCTGGTGCCTACCTCCCGGGCCAGGGCTCCTGCCATCCTCCCCTCCACCTGGGTCCTACACCAGGGGATGGCTGGAGAGAAAGTGACTCTTATGGGAAGAGGAGTGTCCAGCACAGGGGCCAGGGGATCCTCTGAGGCAGCTCTGGAAAACTCATCTGTCTGCAAAGATAGTGTTTCCCCAGAGGATTATGTCCCAATATAGCAGCCACACGGCAGCGGATTCATAGCAGGCAAATATTTGTCCCCTCTGTGACTGAACCTTTGCCATGGCGTTCACAGGACTATTAATACATGGCAGCGTGATCGGCTCCAGCTGCCATGGCACTTTCAGCATCGGATGCCACTTTCTGCCATCAATATAAAAATCGAAGGATGCTGGTATCCCCAGAGACACCGTGTTTGGACAGAGAAAGGGTGGTTGGGGTTTCACCGTCTTACACAGTGGAGGAAACCAGTATGTGATGTGAGCGCTCTGTGGGAAAGTCAGCCGCGAAGCTGTGGTCCTGAATACTGAGTAAAGCTGCAAGTACCAAGATAAACGAGAGGGTCAGGTGGTCCAGGGTTACCTGAATCCAGGGCTGATGCAGATGCCCAAGGTTACAGCCTAGACCCCCATTCTTAACATGCTGCCCTGACTCTCACTCAGGATAAGCCGCAACTTCACGGCAGGGGGTTATTCAGATTTCCCTTTTCATGCAGTCGTACTGTTTGCATTAACACAAACCACAACAACGAAACTGCAACTTTTGACTCAATATTTTAAAGTGGAGGAATTCAAGCCTGTTTCAAAATAAATATCGCCTCAAATTTATAAGACAGGGCCCTATTTTTTGGATAGTTGAAAAAGTAAAAGTAACATCAAAATAGAAATTAATTATGAATGAATATTCAAGGAATCTTTACTGACTTGTCCCACTCTTCTTAATGGGTCTTTGTTCTTTCTCTGTCTACCTCTAAACTTAGCCCAGCACAGGCACCCAATCAGAAGTCCATCCAGTGAAGCCTGCTGGTCCCCAAACTCACAGAGATACTGAGCAGAAAGGACTGTCTTCTAGGTGTTTCCTCCAGATAGTTGAGGAATGTTTCAGAGGCAGAACGCTTCCCAATATGTACTTGCCATCTACTAGGAGTTAGGAGCTATGTACCCCCAAGGACACAGCCCAGGGCAAAGCACACACTGTGCTCTGGAGCTTCTAAAGAACACAGAGATAAAAATGTGCAGCAGGTGGTGACCAGTAAAGAGCCACCAAGGTTCGGGCTGTAGGGAGCTCGGGGGTGCTATTTCAGGACAGTCAGAGAAGGGGTCTCTGATAAGATTAGCATCTGGGTGAACTGAGGAGAGAGTCTAGGTTAGAACAGCAGAAGAGCTGCGTATGTAGTCCTGGGGCAGGGCTGCGGTGGCTTGTGCCAGGAACGGCAGGAAAGCCCACGGGGCAGGGGCAGGGGCAGGGTGAGCAAAGACAGAGTCACAGGAGGTGAAGTGAGAGAGAGCAGGGGCCACAGCTGCCAGGCTTTGTAGAAGACGAATAGGGACTTTGGGCTTTTAATTCTGGGAAGTCACTGAAGGCTTTAAATGGAGGCCTGCCATGATCTGACAACAGATATGGTGCCGAGAACAGTATAGGGAGCCAAGGATCGAAGCAGGGAGCCCAGTTAGCCTCCTGCAATGGGCCCGGCAAGAGATGAGGGCAGCTGGGACTCGGTTAATAGGTGGGAAGACTAAAGCTGAGGGGAGGGCAAGTGGAGTGAGCCAAATGAGAAGTCCTGGGGGCATGTTAACTTTGAGGCCCAAGGAAGAAGCCCACCAATCAATACGTGAATTGTCAGCGAGAGAGAGACGTATTTACAAGGCACAGTGTCTCGGAGGAAAGCTGATGGAGTAATTCAGGGACAGGTGGACTTTCCTTAGTGGGACTGTTTGGGAACTGGTTGATTTTAGCCATGGATTTCCGGAATGTGTCTGTCACTTAGTGCCGGGCTCTCAGAAGCTCCTGCACTAATAGGAAACTGTCATTTATCGATTTGGCCAAGTTAAAACTGATTCTGGTGGTTACATGTGGCCAAAGGACAAGAAGTCCTTTCCTAGGAAGGCGGGAACATCTTCATTTCATGTCTGTGAATAGGTTTTGCAAGAAGCAGTAGTAAATAGCAAAAAAGAGAGAAGATGATTGCTGAAGTGATCATCTTTCTGTGGTGCAAAACTGAAAACATATTTTAA